AGGTGCGTCATATACGCCGAGGTGCGTCATATACGCCGAGGTGCGTCAATACGTGCTTATAGCAGGGTACAGATTTGCCTTGTTAAAAGCCGGTTGTTATTTACGTGCGTTTCGAAACAGAAAATTACGTACAGAATCTTCGTCAGTGATTTACGCGCAGCAGTTGCATGTGCTGCGCAACCTTTTCAAATTTCATTTTAGACAATTCTCGCTGTATGCCTCCGACGGAAATTACATGAGGTGCATGCGTGCAGATGCGTGAATACGTGCATGCTACAAGGCAGGCGTCACACATACAGCCTTTTTTTATAACGAGAGCTTATGAGCTGACTGCAGAAAATGGAATCAATTTGCTTACTGATGTTGCGTTGTATATAAAGCGGAGAAGGAATCGATGGTTTGCCAAGGGAATATGCATGGAAATTATGTGCTTTGTCCCCCCCGTATATAGCGTGTGATATAGAAATGAAGTGCTTCTTGGATGTTCGCAGTAATATTGGTCGCTCACGTATACCATACGCAAACACTGCAACGTCTTGCGCCGACAGGAAACACAGACGTCTCTGTTTGTTTCTGCTCACTTCTTCAAACAAATTTTCAAGTGCGGGCGCCATGCACGTTGTAGTGCTTGGACGTTGCCACGGGGAGCAGGGCAAAGCAAGCGGTTACTACTTTTATCTTCTCCGCTTCTTGTGTAGCGCGGCTCCCGTATTTCCAGTAATTTCCGTAGAGGTGCCATTTAAAATACATATAGCGTCGTGTGTTAGAGCGCGAGTTTTTATCGCAATCATTATGTATCCTTATTCTTCATTTCGCTCGGTCGTATAGTGTGTCGTGAACTCTCTATCGGTTCACGTAATGTGGAATGCTAATAACATCGCCGGCGCATGGGAACAGGCGAAAACGATTACGATGTATATTTCATTCTATATAGGCGCGATTTAAAGGCATTATTTTAATCTAGCGTGATGGAAAGCCCTATTTATGGACAATATATACACGCTGCGCACGCTGGGTGCAACTGTCCAAGTATAAGTGCGTTCGTAGTCATAGAGGAGATTTTATTACTCCATAAAGATTCCGAAGTGTTCGAAGATCCGTTGTGTGAAGATCCGATCAGATTTAGCACTGATGTGCGCGCGCGCGCGTGTGTGTGTGTGTGCGGTGTGTGTGCGTGCATGTGTGCGTGCGCGCGCGCGCGCGTGTGTGTGTGGGTGTGGTGTGTGTGCGTGCATATGTGCGTGCGTGCGTGTGTGTGTGGTGTGTGTGCGTGCGTGCGTGCGTGTGTGTGTGTGTCGATCTGGTGTGAAATTCACCGTGTCTTGTCGCAAACTCAACTGTAAACGGACGCAACGCTATCAACTGCTGTTATTAACAATCACACTTTATTACAATTTTTTTACATGAGGTTATAAAAATTAAATTACGTACACGTATATATGTATATACTAGCAGTGACAATACTGGGCAATGACAATCGCTGTGGTAATGAATAACCACGACAGGGTTGTTTGTACGACGAATGTGTTTGGGGGTAACACATTTCTTAGTGTCAAGTCTTCCGTGTATATCCCGTGCTATAACTGATTAATTAGGCTGCACATTGCACTCATCCAAGAAGTAGTTGTCAGCAGAGCTGTTTAGTGACTGTGGTAAGTATAATAAATACATGACAACGGTACGGGTCATGAACGCTGTGATCATTTGAAACTAGATTTGAGAGTTGGCATTATTGGGGTTGGGCACGTTTTAGCAAAGATGAGAAAAAGGGGTTAAAGCGATATGGAAAATCTTATATAGGTGACGCTTCAAAACACGGAGAGACATTTTTCTCACTTCAAAACATCCAGTGGCAAAGCAATGCTTTTAATCACTTATGCTCAGTTTTATCAGAAATAAATCGTTCTATGACTATTACTAATAATATACAAGAGAAGAGCTCTCTGCTGTAAAGGTCAGTTACTATTCGCGTTGATCAATGCGTCAGCAACACTAGCCAATCCTGGCTGGCGTAGGTTTGCCGTTAAATCTAGTCAATGGGGCAAGATCAAGTGGCACTCAAATGACAAGTTTCCATTTAACGTCAATTAAAATAAAGACGGCCAGTAGTAATATAGCCTCCGGACTCTTCTCGCCCGCACACAGTGAGCTATCCACGCTTGCATCATAAACAAAATGACGGCGTGCATGATGCATGAGAGCACGCAACTGGTTACACGTCGATTTCTCAAACTATTAAAACGATTGTCATGTAAATAGGCGCGTGCACGATGCGGGCGTAATGAGTCACGGACCGCTCGCGCTCTCGCTTTGTTGCGTGCCCACCGTCGGACGCACCGACGAGCAACTCGAGAGGCGGACATCTTTTCATCTGCCGCACGCGCGTATGGTCGTCGATGCGTGCCCGAGAGTCAGCAGCGGCCATTACGGTCATCGAATGGCAGAAATAAGTGCTCGACACTTTCCTCGCGACTCCTTGCTAACAGGAGCTGGTGTGCGCGCGTGAATGAAAGATACATAAATTCCGAGAACGTTTGGCGACGGTTGAGACGGGCGATAATGGGCGGTAGAGCCGTTTACGAGCCCCGGAACGACAACTCGCATATAAAACAAGGTGGTGGCCGCACGCGTGCGAACATGCGGCCAGTATAACGGAATAGATTGCGTAACGATCATCGAGTTCATTAATTATGCATGCTATTGTCGTAAATCTTCGTTGGCCGTGTATTTTGCTCATTAATCATGTTCGTTATCGTGCAAGGCCTAGCGCCCGAGTGAAAGCTGGTGTAGGCGCACCATCGCCTACAACTATACACATCGCGATAAATTAACGATTATTGGTGTGTTAGACACCCTAAACGTCAAATAAAAGGCAATAGCAGGCCTGGTGAGTAGACTGATTTATCTGGTTGGATGTGGGTGTCAAACGGCGTGTATCAGTCTATAAAAATCGGCAAACCTACAAGAAAGGTCTGTTAATAATGTCCGTGTGCGTACCGAGTGAAAAATTATGATGCTAAAAGTACAGGTATATTATTTGTTGTGCGGACACAACAGCTTTTACGGTGTCATTCTATCATGGATTAAGTAAAATTCAAGGATGTCTATACTAAATCATCAATGATTCCCATAATTATTCCTCTAAATCCGAGATCATTGCCTGAATTAATGTTAAGAGTGCGATTCTAACGGATGCAGAAAATGTGCCCTATCAATATTTCACAAACGAACTCTTCACAAACGTGGAATGACGCCCACCCTTATGCTGTGCAAAAGTAAACCCGCAATCGAAGGTCAATAGAATAATTATAGATGCTTTATGCCGCCTTTTTATTCTTAGATTTGCTTTTCTCCATATAATTATATATATATATACCGTCAAGCGAGTAAATATTGAATTGAAGAATTAACGTCAACAACTTTCAATTATGTGGCGTAACAGGATAGATAACAAATGTACACACGGTCGAAATGCATTTGTAGAAAAATACGACGGTCGCTCTAATTCACTCGTCATCTGGCGCGTGCTATAGCAATGGCTGCTCTTAAGACGTTTGTTATTTGATTATTATTATTTATTATCAATTTGTTTCAATCCGGTGCGACCGAAACCGTAGACTGTCCTTCACTATCTACATTAGTATAATCCGTTGTATTGCAGTGGTAGTGTTACTTCGGTTTACTTTGGCATCTGCGGTGATATTTTTTTTCACTATTGGCAATATGGTAAATGGCTGCGATCTTACATCGTTCGATTCCTGGTGATGTAACTGTAACATATGTTTTACAAATGTTGCATGAATTAGTCAGCGGAGCTAGACTAGGGGTTGTTTTAGTAATAGTCTATCTAGACACAGCATCGCGCATCTTGTTGCGGCTACATTGATGCAAGAGTAGATAATAACACAAGAGTTACACACCCGATTCCCGCATTTTTAACCGATTTTTCTCATCAAAATTTGCCACCAATAAAGAAGCAAGTGTATACGTTTGACCACTAATCACTCACCTTCGTGGTACTGATATTCGTTTACATATATTTGCTAGCGTATTGCTGTAAATCGTAATCTTGCACGAGCTGAATTCGCACAATTTACCGCTATTGTGTAGAGGTGTTAAGCCAAAATTTTAAGCTATAGTGGCGCCAATATTTTCGGTTTATGGTTATATATATGGTTTCCAAATCATTCGTGCCCCGATAGGGTTGAGAGACAATCTAAATTTCGAATTTTGATCTCGTGAGGAACCGCGAGCCGCGCTCAGTTATTGTGATCGCAACACAAGAAATTGACATACTATCTTACATAAGTAATAATTCAATAATAACAATATTCTCTGTAGTAGTTTGCAGTAAGTATCACATTACGCACGCGCAGGTAATCAAGTACATTAAACCCCTATCGGGGCACGAATTATTTGGAAACAGTCCGTTGCTAAATATTGGCGCCACTATAGCTTCAAATTTTGACTTAACACCTCTACACAATAGCGGTAAATTGTGCGAATTCAGCTCGTGCAAGATTACGATTTACAGCAATACGCTAGCAAATATATGTAAACGAATATCAGTACCACCTAATGAGTGATTAGTGGTCATAATAAGCTGAGGAACGTATACACTTGCCTCTTTATTGGTGGCAAATTTTGATGAGAAAAATCGGTTAAAAATGCGGGAATCGGGTGTGTAACTCTTGTGTTATTATCTACTCTTGATTGATGTTATAGGGAGAATTGTAAACGTGTTTTAGGTCGGGTGTTTCTAGGGTCATTGTGAAATGGAGGTAGGACGCGGTCTGGGAGAACGGGTGACATGTGCGCTCAGGATGTAGAGGTTTTGGGGGTAATATATAGAAGAGAGATTAGAGAGACGGGGGAAGACAGAGATGTAGGAGTCGAGGAGTCTGGTTGTGGTCGCGCGAGTACGCACACGCGCTTGCGCGCGTGTACGCGTTTCTTTGTCTCTCTGTGCAAGATGTGACTACCCTGTGTGCCAGTTATTAAAGTTTATTCAGTTTACCACACAAGTTTAGATTCCTTCTTCATCATTTCTACATCGAACATTACAGCAACGTTACAGAACGATGAGAACTGTGAGGGTTTGATATGGAACCCCGAAAGACGTCCTTACAGAGGTTTTAAACTCGCGGAACAGTTAAACTTGATTCGCGTTTTCTTTTCTAATAAAGGACGAGAGTTAACGATTGGGGAAGTCGATACGCAGAAGTGAAACCCCGATGTGTTTTTCCGAGATATCACTCACGAATCCTACGCAGGGAAAATACGAAATGACCCACGATCTATAAATGCTCTGCTCCGGTAGGCACACATTACTGTTTCGGATGCAGCTGCGCAGGTGCGGGTGTGTGTACCGCTGCTCCGATGGTGTGTGCACACGTACCCTGCATGGAACGGCCATCGTTGAATACAAGGCTCTGTGAAACGACTGTGTTTGAACAGGCCAGTCTCGACTGATTAGCGTAATGCCCCCCCCCCGACGAATTCGCGCGTTTGCTAGTTGGTGACAAGCTGTACACATCACACTACTCGTGGATTCTGCGTATACACGAGTATGTACGAATCACGTGTACTATCATCACTCTCCCTGACGTCGGTAAGAGTTCGCGTGACTTCCTGAAGATCATGCTGTATATAACCAAAAATCAATTAAACGAACATTGAATACAATACACTGCTTTTAGTGTTTTAAACTCATATTCGTCGGTAATGCACCAGAGCTGGCGTAATAATCGATGCAATACTGGCTGTTGTTGTTTACGCGTGGCTGTTACATTTAAGTTGAACTTCATACTGCCGGCTCCCTCCTTTTTCATTGCATGGTGTCTAGATCTGTTGGGATTCCCTTGTTTAAAAGATAATTTCAGCCTCCTGGTATGATGCGTGGCCTGGCTAGCACGTGGGCATATTGTCATGAAATCTTATGGACTATACGAATTCGGTTGGTCACGTATGTGATACCTGTGGACCCACTACCGCTACCTTTGCATCGTGCCGAAATGACATACACGCGCGCATCCATTCTTCTAGCCGCGTCCTCGTCATCGGATTGTTGGCGTTTGGCGTTTCCCCATTTTCCGGGTGATGGCTCCGCTTTGCCGGTCATCGTGGCCCGTGTTTGTGGCAGTCGGTGCGCTGTATGGTTATCACTGCTAATTCTCCATGGAACTCGTCGCCACGTAATGAAGCGATTCGTATGACGCCACTTGCACGCACGCACACTCCATCAAATTCACAGTGCGCTTAGTAAGTGCCGCTGCTCACGTGCGTGCGTGCTTGCGTGCTACGGGGAAACGTTGCCATGGTGCTAATTCCCGCGACAGCGCTGTGTCGTCTCATAGCATGCGTGCGCGCGGTGATGTCACTGCTCCCAATCGGACACAGCTATCATCGCGATAGGCGCCGTTATCGTCGGGTAGGAGAAGGCGGGAACCTTGGCGGCGGTCGCCTTGAACACCGCCGTCATCAACTCGGCGTTCTCGGTCAACTTCTTCCAGTCGTCGGTGTCGGTGACGTCATTGCCGTGCGTGCTGATGTAGTCGAGCGACTTCTGCTTGAGCGGCACGATGCTGTGCTTGTCGGCGAGCAGCAGCGTGTTAACGACGTTCTTCGTCGTCATGTTGTACATCAGCTCTCGCACCGCCTCGTCCTTCAGACCTGGAGTGATGGAGGAGAAAGAACGGGTTAGGAGTTTAGTCGGAGTATCAGTGTGTGTTTGGTTTGGTGGGTGGTGTGTGTGTGTGGGGGGGGGGGCGTGCGTGCGTGCGTGTGTGTGTGCGCTTGCTTGTGTGTGTGGTGTGTGTGCTTGTTGTGTGTGTGTGTTTTGGTTTGGTGGGTGGTGTGTGTGTGTGGGGGGGGGGCGTGCGTGCGTGCGTGTGTGTGTGTGCGCTTGCTTGTGTTGTGTGTGTGCTTGTGTGCGTGTGTGCGTGCGTGCCAGTTGTGTTGCAAAGATGTGGCTAATCCGTTGTTGAAACTGTTTCTCGGCTTCTGTCATTGGTCATGGTTTTTGTTGTTATTGTTTTTGTTTTTGTTGTTGGGAGTGGTAGTGATGTTGTTGTTGTTGTTGTTGCTGTAGTCGTGGTGGTAATTTATGCAAAGCAAGAGTATTCCTACGCAAAACAGTGTGTTGGGTTTTTAATCTCAGATTCGATTAATCGATTTCGATTAACCTCCAACAATACATCTGAAAATAAAAATCGTTATTATTACTGACTGACACGTGTTTGCGTGCATTATATCCACGTCTTTCTTACTGTCTTCAAATCAATTCTTCATCCCAAGTCAGGCGTCTGCGCCTTGCGGTAATACGCCGAGATAACCTTGGATATTGTACTCAGTTCGTTTAATTACGAAAAACTGCTCTTGCCCGTGACTCAATTAGCTGCTGGGATATGCCATCCGATATTTTAATTTCACGCCATCGAGAGCAAAAGTGTGTGTTGCGGTTGACAGCTGAGATGGAGGCTGTATTTTCGATGGATGCAGTGTGTATGTGTGCGTGCGTGCGTTCGTGCGTGTGTGCGTGGGCGTGGGTGCGTGCGTGCGTGCTTGCGCCCGTGTGTGTACAGCCTTCTACGTTAGTCACACAAGGTACGCACGGGGAACGTTCACTGCAGCCATAGAAGAAAACGCTTCTGTGGAAATTTGATGTGAAGAGACGGACATTTTCATTTATGTAACGTTCTCTCAAATGGCCACGCGTGTTTGTGTGGCTACATTTGTGCGCCTTGTCTCGTCATATCTATGACGATGAAGATTGATATGGATCATAGTAAGTTGAAGGCTTCTCAGGGAATAGAGAAATAGAGGGGGAGAGTGAGACATAACTATCGTGAATCGAGTACGTTTAGCTAAATCAAAAGCGACATGATGCCTACTCGTGTTCGCGTACGTGCGTGTTCGTGTGTGTTCGCGTGCGTGCGTGTTCGTGTGTGTTCGCATGCGTGCGTGTTCTTGTGTGTTCGCGTGCATGCGTGTTCGTGTGTGTTCGCGTGCGTGCGTGTTCGTGTGTGTTCGCGTGCGTGCGTATGTGTTCGTGTGTGTTCGCGTGCATGCATGTTCGTATGTGTTCGCGTGCGTACATGTTCGTGTGTGCGTGCGTGTGGGGGCGGGGCGTGGCGTGTGGGCGTGCGGCTTGGCTGATAGTGATGTGATAGGAGTTGCAGTGTTTTGTGTATTGTCTTGGGTGGGTGCTGTTTACTACGAATCGCATCGGTGTATGCGATTGCGCGTGCAAAGATTCACGCGTGCATGTACTTACGGAGCGAAAAATCTGTAACGCGCCAAGGTGGTTGGTCATTAAGTTTATGAATATTGCGAATCTGCGGCAACTATTTCAGCGTAATATATGCGATAAAGGGAATTTCGATAAGGTAGAGGGGGTGTTTAGGCAGAGGCAGTAGCCATTCACTGTACGAGCATTATGTCATATTACTATTATTATTATTCTTTCTTTTTTTATTATAATTATTAATTTATAATTAAATTATAATTTAGTCGCTATTTACTAGGTTACCGCGAACCAATTACAGCTTGGCTGATATCAATAGATTTGGGAGCGCATCAATGTATATCATCGGTCGTATGTATATATATTTATATATATATATATATATATATATATATATTACTACGTTCCGAGTAATATATATACCAGGTTACTGTGTTTTTGAAGACACCTGCTGTCGTGCGTTGATGACGACTGCATCGTGTTCTGTCACCGTAACCGTAGCCAGAATCGACCTGTCGTAAATGCATCTCTCTCGCAAGCCGGCGGAGGTCGAGCGTGTGCGTGTCAAGTCTACACACTACTCTACTCTCGAAATACGCGTTAGAGCGTAGTTTTCGTAGCGCTCGTTTTAAATAATGCATGAAATCTTTGGATGCGAAACGTGGTCGGAGAGTCACTGTTGGTCGGATTTGTTCAACAGGCGTCAAGAGATGCCTCTGATATAGTCAACAGATTGACTAAATCATATTCACTTGGCATATTCACATTCCCACCCCCGCTCTTTATATAAAGAGTCGTTCTTTTAGCAGCCGCAAGGGAAAAATGGTTTTCTATTTAATGTTGTATGCGGCACGGATTCTTTCTTTCCCGCGATCGTACAGCTGGCACCACTGTGTGAGGTTCGTTGATGCTGTTATGCATTGGTGAGGTGTAGCCACAGCGTCATCAGAGGCGCCAACAACGATGTTACTCGTGAGAATTTGTCGTATGCAAACGTGAGCATTTTGAGATCAAGCCGAGTGTCATGGCGGAGGTAGTCTCATTAGGGTAGAAACGATTCGAAATACGACCTGATGAATGCGACTATCGTTTCATCGCATTACGTAGATTGAACTAGTGACGTTATAATATAATATTCCTTGCAAAGTGACTACTGTGTAGCGTTCTACGTGCGATGGGGTTTTCAGGACCGAGCGCGTAGCAACATCGCAATGGCTATTCGCGTGCATGACTCCCCAGAGTGTTCGCGCCTTTATACATTAGTGCGTCGCGTATGTAGGCATGCATGTAAGCGCCCGGTAGAGCATACACGTGTCGCAGCAGTCAGCGCGGTCGTAATGATACCCACGCACGCACACCAGTTACATTAGGATTCGTATATATATATATATATGTGTGTGTGTGTGTGTGTGTGTGTGTGTGTGTGTGTGTGTGTGTGTGTGTGTGTGTGTGTGTGTGTGTTCGCGTGCATGCATGTTCGTGTGTGTTTGCGTGCGTACATGTTCGTGTGTGCGTGCGTGTGGGCAGGCGGGCGCGTGGGCGTGTGGGCGTGCGGGCTTGCTTGATAGTGATGGATAGGAGTGTGCAGGTTTTCGTATTGTCTGGATGGGTGCTGTTTACTACGCAAACTCTGCTTATCGGGGATTGCGCTCGCGTGCAAATTCACCCGTGCATCCATCTTACAGGAGCGAAAAATCTGTAACGCGCCAAGGTGTTTGCATAAAGTTTAATGAAATTTGCGAATCTCGCAACTATTTCAGCGTAATATATGCGATAAGGGAATTTCGGAAAGGTAGAGGGGGTGTTAGCAGAGGCAGAGCGCATTCACTGTACGAGATTATTCGTATTCGTATTACTTATTACTTTCTTTCTTTTTTTATTATAAATTATTAATTATAATTAAAAATTATAATTAGATCCTATATTACTAGGTTACCGCGAACCAATCTACAGCTTGGCTGATATCAATAACTTTGGAGCGAATCAATGTATATCATCGGTCGTATGTATATATATGGAGTATGCCATCTGATATTTTAATTTTCACGCCATCGCGAGCAAAAGTGTGTGTTGCGGTTACAGCTGAGATGGAGGCTGTATTTTCGATGATGCAGTGGTGATGTGTGCGTGCGTGCGTTCGTGCGTGTGTGGTGGGCGGTGGTTTGTGCGTCGCGTGCGTGCTTGCGCCCGTGTGTGTTACAGCCTTTCTACCCCGTTTAGTCACACAAGGGTACGCACGGCGGGAACCGTTCACTGCAGCCCATAGAAGAAAACGCTTCTGTGGAAATTTGATGTGAAGAGACGCGACATTTTCATTTATGTAACGTTCTCTCAACATTGCCACGCGTGTTTGTGTGGCTACATTGTGCGCCTTGTCTCGTCATATCTATGACGATGAGATTGATATTGGATTCATCAGGCTTAAGTGGAAGGCTTCTCAGGCGATAGAGAAATAGAGGGGGAGAGTGTGAGACATAACTATTCGTGTAATCGACGGACGTTTAGCTAGATCAAAAGCCCGGACATGTGCCTACTCGTGTTCCGCGTACGTGCGTGCTTCGTGGGTGTTCGCATGTGCGTGCTTGTTGTTCGATGGTGTGTCGCATGCGTGCGTGTCTTGTGTGTTCGCGATGCATGCGTGTTCGTTGTGTGTTTCGCGTGCGTGCGTGTTCGTGTGTGCTCGCGTGCGTGCGTTACGTGTTCGTGTCTGTTCGCGTGCATGCAATGTTTCGTGATGTGTTTGGCGTGCGTACATGTTCGGGGTGTGCGTCCGCCCGGTGGGCAGCGCGGGTGGGCGGTGTGGCGTGCGGCTTGTTTATAGTCGATGGATAGAGTGTGCAGGGTTTTCGTATTGTCTGGGGTGGGTGCTGTGTTATACGCGCAAAACTCTGCTTATCGGGGATTGCGCTCGCAGCTGCAAATTCACCGTGCATCGATCTACAGGAGCGACAAAAATCTGTCAACGCGCCAAGGTGTTTTGCATAAGTTTTATGAAATTTGCGAATCTCGCCAACTATTTGCAGCGCTAATAATATGCGAACGGGATATCGGAAAGTTACGAGCGGGTCGTTAGACAGAGGCAGAGACGCATTCACTGTCGAGATATATTCATATTATATTACTTATACTTCTTTCTTTTTTTTATAAATTATTAATTATAATAAAAATTATATTAGATCCGTATATTACCTAGAATGTCTACCGCGAACCAATCTACAGCTTGGCTGATATCAATAACTGTGGCGAGCGATCAATGCTATATCATCGCGTCGTATGATATATATGATTTATAATATAATCATATATATATATATATATATAATTACGTACGTTCGATAATATATATACCCAGATTACTGTGTTTTGAAGACACCTGCTGCTCGTTGCGGTGATGCGACTGCATCGGTTCTGTCACCGCTAACGCGTA